TGGATAGAACAGCCACTGCCAGGCATTTGTGTGCTCAGACTGTCTATATGCATTTGTTGCTGCAGCTGTTATTATCTTCTGTTTCCCCACTCTTTTTTGCATGCTGAGATGTGCCAGAAATTTGCAGTGTCTGTTTCTGAATGTACTGAGCTGGAGGAAAAGCAGGAGCAAGGAAGATAAGGCAGGAATCCAACCCTCGGTGCTATTTTTTTCTGATAATATCCATCCCATGATCTGCGTTTCCATACATTTCAAGTCGGCCCTCGGGGAGAGGGAAGGGGAGGAGAGAAGTTGCCAACACTATGTATTCCACCGTGGAATTTAGGTCTTCTACCAGAGCCAATGAAGCCTTGTTTCCTTGGCTTTCAAATTCCATTCATATTTGCTCTCCAGCATGATGTGCAAGGATCTGATAAGTGGGAACAAGCCCCTGCCTAACCTGAGTTTACATCATTAATGCTACTTTCCTAAGTAATCAGTTGACATGGGCAGAAGGGGGGTGGCAAGCTAATATAGTACGATTTCAATGGTTGAAAGCAAGGACAGTATCTCTTTCCTACTGGCTACTCTCTGATCTACTCGTGTTAAGCATTTTGTTGTTCTGTATGCCTCTTCTTCACATAATATGTAGAATTCCAACGAGTTGGAACCTGTTGCTATCTGGGCAATCTCTTTTCTTCTTGCAGTTAGAGTAATGTTTCACTGTCTGTGTTAGGTGTCAGCTGATTTCCTGTGGATTTCTAAAGTGCTGGGTATTCTGCAGGAAGTGACAGATGTCTGCCTTTACTCAGGGTGCCAATGATAGAGTTTCCATCCTTAAATTTCTACAGCATCTGGCAAATTTATCGCATGCAACACATTCAGGACCTGTGCAAAGCAGGGAAAAGGCACCTGTAACAGTCTGTGGCAGTCCCTGCTGTAGGCTATTTGCAGCATGTTGTCTCACCATGCGATTTAAAATGTTTCCACTTTTCATTAGCTTTGGAACCAGACATAAACAGTAGAGAGACACCAGACTTGAAGATGACCCAGACCAGTGCTTTAATCACAAAACCATCCTTCCCCCCAATATAGCTATTGCTACAAGTCAATAATCTGGGAGCTGAAAAAAATGGGTCCTGCCCCCTCATCACAAAATAATCATGTGTTTCACTGTCCATTTATGACTTTTTCTCGTGTTGCTGTTCCAAATGGCTTTTTAACCCAAATGTCCTGACCGTCCAACCTTTACTGATTTCTGTGAAAAAGCATGCAAATCTCTCTGCACAGATGTCCTGGATCAATGCAGTAAACCTTCAGGTCAGTTTCTTTCTATCTTCATGCTACAAAGCACCTCTGGTTCTCAGAGAGATTAACGTTACTTAAAGCCACCGATTGCAATGGTCTGTTCCTTTCTTATTTTAAGTGAGATTTAGCTTTATACTTCTGCACTTGCTTTATCACATACGCTGTCCTCCACAGGAGATATTCAGATGCAAAGTTCTTCTCAGTTTCTATTCCTTCTCTCCATCTGGAGAGGTTTAGCTAGTGAACTCTGCAGGCTATGCACAGGACCTATTTGATGCGTTAGTTGACTTGGGTTACTATTAGTAAGAAAAACCTAAACCATTTGGGGTTTTTTTAGCCTAACCCTGAAAATACCTTCTAGAAATGTCCCAGCACAACAGTTTTCAAGGCAACAAAGCGGAACAGCCTCCTACCAAGGAGAGATTCCCTCATTTCAGTCTATACATTGTGCAGTCAGTGACCCCTAATTATGCCCTGGTTTAGCATCAGTCAGTTTGCCTGATTTTCAGAAATGCCAAGTTAGACATCACGGTACGATCCTGGGTGTGGCTTCAGGCACATTCAAAGATGCAGCCAAATGCTCAGTGTATCACATGAGCCACGTAGGTGTGCTGGACATCAACTGAGTTAAGCACAACTGATTTAAATCCTTTAACAACCCTAGATGAAGTCAGCCGTAGATGCCTACGTTGAAATGTTCTGCTTTCTATCCCATCCCACCCATTTTCTTTCTTAAACTTTTGGATACTGCTGTTATGTGCCAGAAACAGGTATGCAAGGCACATGTGTCAACTTTTATCTTTCAGCTTCGAGCGTCACAGAGGAGTCTCTCTGCCAGGCATCTACTGCTGAGACATCTAAGGAGCTTAAGGGGGTCACTTGCAAACATTTAATTGTCTTTTAATGTGTCTAATTGTCTTTGAAAATTTTAGCCACTGAATACACATAAAGATTAATGAGTATGATCACAGAAAACAGGCCATGAAATTGGAGTGGATTTCAGGGTCAGTGGGTTTAAAGAAAAAATGCTTAGCAAAGTAGTTCTTAAAACTGCAACTATGGAATGGAAGAACTAATATAATCCTTCTTTTGGAATAGCAGAGAGACGTGCCAAACAGCTTCTTCTTAGCTCCTTTCTTCCCATTTCTGGAGCATATCCGATTTTCAAATTGAAAAGTGAATGATGCATGCAATACTTTGAGAAACATGCATTTGTATAAGTCACGGAGAGAGCAGATTCACGGGTTTACATACTGTGATACACAAACCTCGACTGTGGCACTCAAAAATGTGCTTATTGGAAATCCTCTCTAGCATGTGTGTTTAATCTCTGCCCAGTTTCCTGGGGCTCCAGAGAGATCTTAGAGCAGATTTATTTTCTTTAAGTAGATATTTACCACGCTGAGCAAGCAACTGAGAGTGCTTTCAGATATCTTCCTTCCTTACCTGACCCAAAAAAGCATGTAAATGGTGAATTTAAGTAAGTAATGTTTGTATATAATTAAATGGATCTAATATCTTTCTGCTGAATGATTGAATTGTAAGAACAATGAAAGATTAGACTCTGAGCTCTCTGGGGTTGGTTGTTTGTAGGGTGCCTAGCACAATGGGGCTCTGATCCCTCTCTAGAGTCCTTACACTATGGCAAGAGAAGCAATAATAATGACATCATGGTCTAATGGTCAGCGGACAGGCGTAGGCAAGAGGAACATCTGAGTTCTACTCCCAGCTCTGAAGCTGACTTCCACTATCCCCTCGGGCAAGTCATTTTACCTTTCTATGCATCAGTTTCCCCACAGAGATATTAATACTGATCTCTATCAAGGGTGGCATTGGGGTTAGCTGGTACAGGCCTTTGAAGACAATAAGCTTTGTCAAAGTGCTGAGCGTTATTATGCATACACGGTACTGCAGCTCTTTTGGATTTCACATTCCCCATTTGGATTTGTTATTTGTAGTAGATAGGGCCCTCATCATTACAAAGCTAGGCTTTCAGTTTGTCTTATACCTGCTATCTGTGTCTCTCACGAAAGACCATTCAACAGCAGCATGAAACCCTCACCCAGTTAGGGGCTTAGAGGAGACTAAGAACAGGTAGCATTCCTGCTGCTAGCGGATCATGGTTTGGGAGGCCAGGCTCTCAACAGCTAGGACAAAACTTCTAGGAAAACAAGATTAAGCAAAATACTTTCTGTGGGGTCCCTACTTTACTGCAAAGGTTTCTTGTGAAGTCAAAAGAGTGCACGCACACACACCCCAACGACAACTAAATCATCATCTCAGGTCATTTTTCTTTCATGCGGCTTGAATACTTATCACTCGCCTGCCCCCAAAATTCAGCCCAATGTTTAAACCTGTCTGACACTGCCTGTCCTTACTCCTAAAGCCCCATCCTTTTTGTCTTGCCTGCTAGCAGCCAACCCTCTTTTAAAGGTTCTGAGCCTAACGCATCTCAGCTGTGCATGATTCCAGCCCAGCTGGGAGTGCCTGCCTGAGCTGACTCTAAAGAAGACTCTGTCAGGGAATTTTAACTCAAGAAACCCACCCTGCTGTCTGACTTAGAGAGTGAGCTCTTTGGGGCAGTGTTTGTACAGTGCCTAGCATGATGGGGCCCTGATCCATGCCTGGGATTCCCAGGTACTACCACAATACAAATAATACAATCCTAATTCATAGAAGTCACAACCCCCTCAGAAAACAGGGCTTTTTCTTTCGAGGGGCTGCTGCTAATTCCCTCCGATCAAATCTCTCGTGCCAATGCTACATGTTCCCCAGTAAAATCTACTTCACTTCTATTAATAGTGATGATTTATTAATAATAATAATAATAATAATGTGCACATCTCCAGTGCCTTTTATCCAAGCTGCTTTTCAAACAAAGGGCTTGAGCCTGTGAAATACCAGACACCACCAGCTCTCATTGAAACCATAATGGCACTCAGCCCCCGCACAGAAGCCTTATCATACCACACCACTAGAGAGCAGATGAACATCAGTTCCGTGTTAGCAGACTGAAGGCAGATATAGAGATGTTACTAGAGCTGGGACCAGAACCCAGGAATCCTGGCCCTTACTACTATCAGTCTATTCAGTAACACCCCACAAAGCCAATTATAGGCTGTTTTTTCCTGCTCCCCGTCTTCACTATTTCACTTAAGACCACTGTATGTTTTGTACCATTCCCAATCCAAGAGACAGGATCATAAAGCCACATACCACCTGATTCCTGAATTATACCCCAGCCACTGGTTCATTCTTGATCTAAAAGGAGAATAACAAACTCCTCACTCCCAAGCAAATCACCCCCTTCTCGGAGGCAATAGGGTTTAGGGTGAAACTTTGTGTAGCATTGCCATTCTGAGCTTTCAAAAATCATGACTTTTTTTGAAAAATAATAAATGGTAGGTTCTTTTTCCTTGCCTTCTGTTTTCTGGGTCTTTGGGCCACACTCAGGTCATGTTTCCAAGCTCTTCTCCACAGCCACAAAGGGCTACATACTTCCCTTTTGTTTAAAATGGAAGCCGAGATGCTGACCTGCATCCAGGAGCTAGGGCTTTAAGGAAAACACCAACTCCCAAGACTCATGATAAAAACATGAGCGTTGGCAACACTGGAATTGTCACCTTTCCCCCACCTCCTCCCCTGTACAGTCTGACATGGTTGTTCTCCTTATCCCTATGATTTCAAGCCTGATTCTTCCTCTGGTTGTTTAGGGATCTAGTGATGATGAGCAGCACATCAGCAAATCCACCTCGCTGATCGAAAGCCAACATCACCACCTGCTGCACTGCCTGGAAAAAACAACTGTAAGTAGCAACAGGACCCTTTCTAAATCTGATTAAATGCTTTCCTCCTGGGTCCAGGCTTCCTTTGGAAAGGACGTGGGTGCAGTATGCTCCTCTAAACCAGTGCATGCACTCACAAACACACATCCCCAGTGGGGATAAAAATATGTGTCAGTGAAGTGATGGGTCCTGAATCTCAGAAGTTCCCTGGAATATGCCACACGGAGAGAGATTCACTTTCTTTTTGTGAATTGCTTAACAAATAAGCATTGGGCAAAATGCTAACAGTGTAAATCCGTGTAAAAGGACCAACAGATGGATTGCCCTGTGCAGGCATTTACACCAGCGCAAATGCCAATACAGACTGCAGGGCAAGCAGCCACTGTGGAGCAGAGAAGCAGCCTGTAATGACCAAAGAGACAGACTTGCGGGAGTAGGCTTTAACCATGGTTTCTGAACTAGGGCTAAACTCAGTTTGTCTTTAGCTACACTTGCAGTTAAAGTGCATATATCACGGGTTCCTCTGAACCCATTGCTCACACCCACTACCAATGATGTATAGGATTGCTGGCATGAAGAGGGCTACCGTGGGAAGCTGATGCCAGCAAATTCTAAGCCACACGTATACCCTACCACAAATAGGCCGGAGAAAACAACAACTGGGCCATTTAAAGGGAGAAGATGAGCCTTTTTAATGTGATTTAGTGACACCATGCATGTCTTTCCTGACAAGCCTCAGTTAAAGGAACATGTAGTTCATCTAGAGGCCAGTCAAGTGGATTCTACTATAATGACGTTTCACTCATGCACTGCATGGTGCTGGAGTAAGCCCCTAGGAAGTGCTATTTTTTAATTTTTAAATAGTTCTGTAAGCAGAAGTCCCTGGAAAAATTGCAAACAGATCTTTATCTCATGTACATTTTATTTCCAGCTTTATATTCACAGGCGATTTGTGGTAAAGGGATATATTATCTATATTGTATATCATGGCTCATTCTGGAAAGACACCAGTGGGTTAAGACCTGATAAGATGTATCCCTTTCCTTATCTGCATCCACCATCAGATATGTCTTTGATTTCTGACCTGCATACATAGTGTCAATTTCACAGTTTGAAAACTAGCAGGAAAACACCATGTAGGTTTCAAAGAGCACATTGGAAGAAGACCACTGGTTAAATACCTATAGCAACTAAATCCCACAGGTCCTGAAACTCATCATGATGAATTATGAAGCTAATCATTCCAGTGCTGATGCACTATATCAGTGGCTGTTGGTTTCATTTTATAGTATAAATCCGAGCTTGTCTGTCTTTCTGATAACTCTGTATGTTACAAGTAGATATTTCACAACCTGACTCTTCAATTGTTTAGAATTCTGTACTTACCCTTAAGCTTTAAATAATATATTTCAAATATGGCTCATATCATGTGATTGTTACTACACCTCTACCCCGATATAATGCGACCCGATATAACACGGGTTCGCATATAGCGCGGTAACCCCGGGGATCCGGCAGCGGGCCTCGGGCGGTGCTTTAAAGGGCCCGGGCTCCCCGCAGCAGCCAGAGCCCAGAGCTCTTTAAATCACCGCTGGAGCCCTGCGGCCGCTACCCTGGGGCTCCGGCAGCAGGGCTCTGGCGGTGCTTTAAAGGGCTTGGAGCTCTGGCCGCTGTGGGGAGCCCCGGGCCCTTTAAATCACCGTCGGAGTCCTGCCGCCCCTACCCTATGGCTGCGGCAGTGGGGCTCAGATGACGATTTAAAGGGCCTGGGGCTCCCCGCGGCCCTGGAGCCCTGCCGCCGCTACCCCGATCTAACGGGTTTCACCTATAATGCAGTAGGGATTTTTGTCTCCCGAGGACCGCATTATATCGGGGTAGAGGTGTACTATTTACAAAGTGCCATAAATTTGCCCGGTATTTTACAGAAAATAAAAAGATAAGATTCCTGTCCCAAAGCATCCACCATGTAATGTCTGGATCCTGCAGTCTTCCACATATGCTTAACTTTACACACTGTGAGGAGTTCCACTGACTATTAGTGAGTAAAGTTAGGGTTACCATAATTTAATTTTAAAAAAGGAGGACACTCCACGGGGCCCTGGCCCCGCCCCAACTCCGCCCCTTCCCCACCCCCGCCCCTTCCCCAAAGTCCCCGCCCCAACTCTGCCCCCTCCCCTGAACGCTCCGCCCCCTGCTCCTCCCCCTCACCTGCTTCCCGCGAATCAAATGTCGAACATTTGATTCGCGGGAAGCCTGAAACAGGGAGGCAGCAGGTAAGCTGGGGCTGGGGCTGGGGCTGGGGCGGGGCGCGGCACGGCCCAGTCCGGCCGAGCGGCTTCCTCTGGCAGCCGGCCGGCCCAGGCCAAGAGGCTCTGGCCCCGGCGTCTCCCACCCGGCTCGGCTTGGGCCCTGGGGTGCAGGCCTCCGGCCGAGCACCGCCGGCCCCGCACCGCTGGCCCCGGCCCGGCCCCCGGCCCCGCACCGCCAGCCCCTCCCTCCCTCCCTATTTTCCCGGACATGTCCGGCTTTTTGGGATTTCCTCCCGGACGGGGATTTGAGGCCCAAAAAGCCGGACATGTCCGGGAAAATCCAGACGTATGGTAACCCTAGTAAAGTTAAGCAAATCTGTAAATCGTTGCAGGGCTCAGGCCTACATTAGACAATCTTCAGGACAATGATGATAGCCTCGCTCCAGAATTGTACTTTTCTCCACAATTACTCCCCCTGATTTCAGTATTTGTGGTATAAATTGCAGTGTGAGTAAGGCAAGAGGTGTCTGGCCCAAAATGAATTATAACAACAGACAATTGGATCCAAGGGACAGCAGCAGAGAGAGGAGAATGCAAGGCAGAAGACTTTCCTTGCATTTTCTCTTGTATTTTTCTGTATTGGCCCCAATTTATTTTGGCCAAGATGCCAGTGCAGAGTTAGGAACAGGAATATAGAGGCGTTCCTGCATTGAATAGAACCAAAGAGAGCCACAAAACGAATGAAGTGAACTGTCCTGCTGTTGCATTCAGATATTTGTATCAGCTATTGAAAATTTTCTGAATTTTGATTTTTGGACCAAAAATGTCATTGCAATTTTGAATTTGGATGAACACTGGAGAAAAAAAATCCACAAAATATTTGCTGCATTTTCCCCCCATTTCCAGTCTGCCCCAACCAGGATGAGATTGTCAGCAGTGTTGTCACATATTTGCGTATCACAGTTAGAGCTGATCAAATCATGAATATAACTATTTGAAAATAATGTAGTTGATGAATGACAGTGTAACCCACACGCCTCCTGGGTGTAGTGTTCTGTCCCTTCTAGTGGCACTGAGCCCACAGAGAGAGAAAGAGAGATGATTGAGTTTGCTCTACAGCCTTAGCTAGCAGCCAGTTGGTTTGAGGCTCATGCACTAAGTTTCAGAGGCCCCAGGTTCAATCTCGCCTGTTGTCAACTGCGGTCTGTTGGTGTTACAACAGCAGCAAAAAAAAATCTGTCTTCAAAAAATGCATAGAGCTGTTTGATTAATGAAAACAGTTAATTTTATTAAATACATTATTTGTTGGATAATGGGGAAACAGAGAAGATAATTAACAACTTCAATAATTTACGAAGTGTCAAGCTGGATTCTTCATCACTGGCACTTTTTAAATCAAGATTGGATAATTTTTTTTAAAGATCTGCTCTAGTTCAAAAGGAATTATTCTGGGGAAGTTCTATGGCCTGTGTTATGTAGGAAGCCAGACTAAATTATCACAATTGTCCCATCTGGCCGTGGAATCTCCGGATTGTTGAACAAACTCTTCACAGTCGTCATATAATCAGCTCTAACGATGCAAACACCACCAAGATTTTGTTTAAGGGGGGTTTCTTTTGATTGTGGTTTTTTGACTCTCTGCAACTCTGCTCAGCATTAAGTGGCTGTTCAGTTCTTACAGTCTGAGTGCTGCTGACCTGGAGTATCAAAGTTTTCAAAAAAGAGATTGTCATTCAAGGAGTCATATGCAGCATGTTTAGATTGTGGTTCTCAATGCGTTAGTCAAAACAGCTCAATCAATTTTTGTGTTGAAATTCCTGTACTTCCTTGGCATTCTTAATCTATTAAGCTATTATGCAAAAATGTCAAATCGCAGCATATGAATTCTTAAACACTGAAGAGTCATTTTGCAATGTTTCAAAGTTGCAGGTGGAATGGAATGAGGAATGATCCATGTGCCATGGTTACCAACATGTTTCAAAGGGCAAATCACCTTTCCTTAAACTAGACAGAGGGATTTTAAAAGTACATTCTTTATTTTCACAGTATCTGCAGTTGTCACTAGAATAAAGTCCTACAATTTAACAGCTGTGAATGGCCCTCAAATCTGGTGTGTTAAAAGACAAAAGTAGCCTTGAGATGCTTCTGACAATCATAGCAAAAAATTCTTTGCTATGTTAACATAAGATTTTTCAGCTCTGTTCCGTACCCCAGATGTGATCACTCTGTTCCCTACCCCTGACATTCATATCCTACGCTTTCGCTGGCTGCTGCCTGGGTTGAGACACATCCTTCAGCCAAAACCTTCCTTCTATATTTCCACAAAGGTCAACCAAAACACAGTCCCATTGCTTGGGTAACCCCTGATCCAGTCACCATACATTCCCAATTGGGCAAGCTCTGATTCAGTGGCTGAGAATTTGTTTTATCCTCTGCTTCTGGCTCTCAACAAATAAATAAAATAAAAAATGAACAACAGTTGTAAATCGCCTTGCCCTTCCATTCTCTTTTAGAAAGAGAAAACAAACAATTAAAGTGCAAGGTTCCAGAACACTATGTTAAGAAAGAAAGAAAAATCTGATTTAGCAAATTAGTTTAGTAAAGGAAAGGCTCAATTGCCCATTCAAACTTGGGGTGCCAGATGGAATGCTGAGATTGAATGGATGGAATGCTGGGACTAAACTTTGGAATGCGGGAATGGACAATCAATCGTGTTTTTATCTTTTGTTGGCATGTTGTCCTGTAGGGATTGTCCTATCTTGTGGATGATCCCCTGTTATCTGTACGAACTTCCACCATCAAGGTATTTCCTTTTTAATTCAAATCTGTTTTCTACAATCTCTGTGACACGTCAGAGTGTTTGTCTCCTTCCTTGTTATTGGTCCTGTTCTTGGGAGTTTGTGCATGTGGTTCATTTTTGCTAACTGATGCCTTTGTTTGCTCTAAGACTTAGTATCTGTTCCAATGAAAATTGATGGTTACCTTATCTCCAGTTCCCCCCCTCCTTCCTTTCCAGTTCTGATGGGTAAAAAGCAAAATGTGTATATTAGGCATCTATGAATGTTTATGTATGCGCCTAGGTGTGTATAGACTTTGGCTCTTCCCTACACTGTCCTCTACTTATTGGTGCAAGAGGCACTGAAGTTTTCCATTCAACTTTAAAGCTCTAGGCTACCCAACTTTGCAGTTCTAGGCTACCCTTTATCATCATTTCCCTCCCCCTAACTCTTCCCACTGGCAGCTTCCACCTTGACTCCTGCCACATATAACTCAGCTGCCAGCCCAGCTTTGAATGGAACTGTAGGTGTGACATACCGTCAGGGATCGGCTTAACCAGCACACCATACCTAAACTTTCCAACTTGATGACCAATTGGTCCTGCTGACATAAACAGTACACATCACAGCCTTATCCCCAAACACAAAAGACAGTGAGCCTGACTCTCCTTTCTATACAGGTTTATAACAGTGAGGCACCACAGACTTCACCAGACTCACTTCAGGGATACAGATGTGTAAGTGAAAGGAAAAATCAGGCCCAAACTATTTATGGATATGGAATGTGTAAGCTAGCTGGTCCCGACAGGCTGTTATGCCTCTGCCATAGCTTCTCTTATTCCCATGTTGTTGTGGGGGAGCAAACACGTTCTCTTGGTTGCAATGAGTAAGGGGATGAAGTCATCTCTTTCCTGGTTGTTGTTTGCATTTTTAAATCTGGGAACTGTCTAGTGCAAGCTGTTTCAGGCACAGGGGCAGAGAGCTGAGGGGCTGACCTGTCCCACAATAGCAAAAGGTGTTCTTGAAAACGAACCACCTTATGGTAGCTAATGACGAGAGTGACACTGTTGTTCTTTTCCCTGCCAGAACCATGAGTTCATAGATGAGCAGCTGTTTGAGCAGAACTGCATGGATAACTCAATGCAGAATTACCCCTCCACTCGCAGCCCCTCATTGTCGAGTAACAATGGCGGGTCCACCTCCTGTTGTTCTCGACGCAACAAGAAGACGACTCATCTTCCCAACTCCAACGTGCCAGCCACTCGCCTGCGGAGCATGCAGGAGCTAAGCACGATACACATCCAATGCAGCGAACAGCCATCACTTACAACAAGGTACAGTGAGCAGGCCCTGGCTGCTGACTGCTGCATGCAAATCTGCTAAGGGTAATGTCCATCTGAGATGAGTTTAGACCAGTTTCTACCCCCTCGGCCCAGGAGAAATGGGTCCCACCTGGGACTATCTAACTTCCAGTTCTACTAATATGGTCCCAGGAGAGGTGGCTCCTGGCTGCTCTGTGCAACTCCTATGGACTTAGCCCAGAGGAAGCTGACCCAAGCTCTAGCTTAGCTCTTCTCCAGCCAGTTTGGACCCAAGAGAGGCGACTCCCAGCTGAGGCTCCCATTGGTTCAGCCTCAGCTGTAACCAGATTGCTACAGCTCATGCAGTACCATTCCTGCAGCCCAGCAGGCAGCAATACCCAGCTCAGCACAGCTCTTATTTGGTTGACCAGCGGGAGGCAGCTCTCAGTTTCTACCAACTTGGCCAGAGCCGTGTGCTCGGTCATGAGCAATGCCAGACGGCATTGGTTCCAGGCAATCTGCATGTGCTACATAAAGTACAGAACCTTCTTCACACAGCACCCCTATACTGACTTGGCCTGCCAGGGAAACTGACTTCTTTGAGTTACTTGTCCACTGCTGACCGAAGGGTAAGAGCAGCCGAGATGGGAGGAGAAGAGGATTTTCAAAATGGGTTGAGTTGTGCTAATCTAATGTGCGATTAGTAACATAAGTGAAGAAAGATCTCTCTTTCGATATTGGATTTTCAAATGGACTCTCCTTTTAAAAATAATTTAGTGCATAATCAAGGCATCATCATCACTGTAGTTGAATGAACTTCTGAAGTCCTCTCCCTGTGCCCAGCCAAACATCTCGTGCATTAGGGAGCTTTGGAAAAGGGGAGGAAGCAAAGACTTGCATTTGAAATAGTAACTCCAGACCTCCCCCTGATTCCAAAGTGTATGGGAACTATTTTACCCGCAGCAGAAATGCAGCTGCCTCTGGGGCAAGGAGGATGCAGCTATTCTGCACCAGTGACATGATTCAGCAAGGTGTTTAAGTGAAGAATAATGTATCAAATGGAAATGAGAAAGGGAATAGCATGAGAGTTCATTCCCTATGGCCCTTTCAACATTAGTTCAGTATTTCCCAAAGGGTGGGAGTACCCCCTTGGCGGACAGGAAGGATAAGACTGCAGGAAAGGACAAGCTTCTCAGTTGTTTCCTACAATCTTCCATGAAAAAAAAAGTACATGTCCAGCTATTATGGTTTTAAAGAAAACCTTGAAAAGGTTACTCAAGTGTAATCAACATATGCCTGAGTCTGCAGCAAGCCTGAAACAATAGCTCTAAAGAGTATGAACTGCTCTGTTCATTTCCATGGGTGCTAAAACCAATTCCAATTATGACATTTTAAATGTCAAAACTGTTACCAGATGAGCAGTGACATAGCTATGATGAAGATCTGCACCCTCTACTGCGAGCAGCCACTCCTGATGGGTTGGGCTTTAAGAACACCTGGAGAGGTTGCAGTGGGAAGGAGGGACTGGGGATTCTTTTAATTTTCCTGAAGCGGGGCTCAGTTTTCTAAAGGTTTTAGAAACTCTGCCTTAGCCTCTTCAGCTGCGATTGGGGCTATGGCTACTCTAGAGAGCTTACAGCAGCAGAGCTGCACCGATGCAGTGGCGCCACTAGAAGTTCTCTAGTGTAGCTGCTCTCCCGTCAACTTAATTAATCCACTCCCAACGAGCGGCGGCAGCTATGTCAGCATGAGAAGCTCTCCCACCGGCAGAGCGCTGTCCACACCAGTGGTTAGGTCGGTGTAACTTATGTTGCTCAGAGGGAAGACTTGTTCACACCCGTGAGTGACCTAAGTTATACCGACACAAGTGGTAGCATAGACAGTCTGGGTGGAGTTAGTGGTTTACCGACACTGGATGGATTATTACAACAATCTGTAACCCACTAACCCCACCCCTTTATGTTCCTATAACTGCAGACGTGTTATAACAGGTCGCTCTACCTTGAGTGGTCCCTTACAATATGTGCTAACTACTTATGCTAAACAAGCTGTTCCACCTTGTATTTAGCTGTGGCACTGGGAGTACCGTTCCCAGGCCTGACGCAGAGCTCTGTGTGGCTGAAAGCTCGTCTCTCTCACCACCAGAAGTTGGTTCAATAAGATACATTACGTGACCCACCTTGTCGCACAGAAGTACCCAGACACTTGAGACATCAGGACAGAGCCTCTTGGTGAGTCAACCTGTAATAACAGCGGTGACTTTCCAACAGTGAGCCCTTTATATTTTGAAAGGACAAGCCCTGTGTTTAAAGCAAGCCTGTTGGGCTGGTAACAGAAGACTCCTGCAGCTATGCAGATGCACAGAAAACAGACCTATCATTTTCCCTCGGTAATTAATTATAGGATGCAACTGATGCAGATCTAATAGGAATGCTCCCAGTTGCCAGATCCTCAAGACTAGTGCAGGGGAAACAAGTAGAAAAGAGAAAGGGATGGAGGCTTTGAAAGGAGAAATAAAACTGCATTGAAGTTTAAGCCTGTGGTCAGGGATCCCTTATGGACTCATAAGACTTTGGACCTGGTTCTCCTCTCACTTACACCAGGTTTACACCACTATACCCTGTTGGGTCCAGTGGAGTGACAGCTGATTTCCACCAATAATGAGAACAGAATCAGGTGCAATAGCTGCTAAAGGAAGCAAACCAAGAAACAGTATACAGGGCCAGATTCTCATCTGGCATCAATGGGCCTAGCTCCATTGACTTCCACAGATTTACAGCAACTAAGGATCCAGCACCATGACTCTCTGCATTACATATTTTCTTTACTGAGGTCTGAGGGAGTGAAAGGCTTCTAAGCAGTAGGAGAGGGTGAGCTCTGACTTGTGCAATATCCACTTTTGAGCTGCTACCTCGCTTTCATTCATTATAGTCACGGCCGCTGCTGAAAGCAGAGATGACCATCCCCCACAGCTGCGCTCACCCCCACCTCCAGACTGTTGGGGGGGGAGGGGGGCTTCTGTTGTGCAGGCCCTCTCTCGCCCCGTGCCCATGCCTGTGTGTATCACAGTCAAAGCATCCCTGTCCATTGCTGTATTCTCCCACTGAAGCTAATTTGATTGTTCAGCTTTATTTTATTTTTTGGGTTGGGCGACGCTCCAGTGAGTGTTTAATCACAATTCTCAGAGGCCCCCGGTGCCTACGCTGAGATGGGAGAAACGCAAACTCCCTGCATGAGTCCCTTGAAACACAAGCATTGCACAATGCATTAGAATGGTGCATAGCACACACAAAAAGATGTGCACACCCCAGCAGGTAAGAGACTGGTTAATTCAACAGCCATAACAGAGCCTGAAGCAAGCTGCCTGCAGCTAAAAAAGGCCACGCTGAGGGATGTTTTCGTTACCAAACCCCTTACCTGCTCATTGCTATGAAACAGCTGCAGCCAGCATCGGGCTCTCCATTGGAAGGCGCTTGGGAGTTCCATCTACCCAAGTGGTTAGAGTCACTGAAAAACACCCCCATTTCCTTCAAGGAAAAAAATACTGAGTTGCATCTGAATAACCAGAGGGGCGATTAAGCAGGCTTGGTGTTAACAGGAATGTAGGAACTGGCATACTGGACCCAATCAATAGTAACATCTGGCCCAGTATCTCATCTCCAACAGTGGCCAGCACCAGAGGAAGGTACAAGAAACCCTGAGAAGTCTGAAAGAAATAACCTGTCCACAGGCGAAGTTGCATACCAAACAGGGGGCAGTTAACAAAGGTTGGTGTTAATCAGAGGGCAATTAAGGATGTCCAGTGGTAATCAGGGTCTAGGGGGATTGTTCGGTGATTTCTGCTGTAGCTGGTTTTCAGCGCCCTTCCTTCAGAGGCATACAACACCATGGAGGAGCAGTTGCCTTTGTTACTGACTCTTGTTTAAAAAAAAAAAATCCCTTTTGTTTTCTAGTCGTTCCAGTCTCAATATGAAATCAGACGACGGGCTGAGACCGAACTGCAAAACCTCCCACCTCACGACAGCCATCATCACTATTCCTACCCCACCGGCACTGACACCAGAAGGAGAGAGCAGCCCTCACCCCACTACGAACATTTCCACCACATGCAGCAACATAGTCAAGGTCTCTGCCTTGTAAGGTGGTGTCGTTTGAAGGAAGCAGCTGGAATGCCGGCGTCTCTCCCCCTCCACACCTTCATGTTCCTTTCTTGCTGCAAATTGTGCCTGGATGGACCAACCTGACATTTCGTCATAGAATTAGCAATGGAGACCTAACGAGGCAGCTTTCTTCAAACTTGCATTCATGCCATGGACTGAGAACAGATGAGGAGCGGGAGGACGAGGTGGGTTGGAGAAAGGGTCTGTGTGCGCCCGCGGAGAGCCTTGTTCCAGGATACGAAGCAGAAAATTGTTTCTAGAGGCTAGAGAAAAAGAACCGTCATGGCAACAAGAAAGTCAATAAAGAAACAAATATAACACTGTGTATCTCGGCACCTTTTTAAAGGTTTTTAATGGATAATATTTATTCATGTGGAAATGACTGAAAAAGGTGAAAAAAACAATGTATTTTGTGATTTTTTTTCCTTCATGGAGCAGAATCTTTAATCAACCAAAATTACACATTTTTTTTTCTTTTATAGAGAAAGATTTAGACAAAGACGACAGCTGTCACAGAAATCTATTTCCGTTCCTCAGTGTGTGTGTGTGTGTGTGTATATATATGTATGTGTGAAAGAGAACCACATTGAAACGACACACAAAAGTCTGAGCACATTTTCCGGATTTGGTGCACAGTATCAAACTGATTGCACAAGCACAGTGGCACACGTGCGCGCACACACCCCCACACACAAATAAATCGTTCACCCTGGATGACATTCTTTACTTAGATGATTTTGTAACCGCCTTTTAAGTCAATACAGTGCAACTGCAAACAGTGTGTTTGTCTGCTAATTATTGTCTGTGAAAACATATTTGTGGAAAAAAAAAAAAAGGCTTCAGTAGAGTGTTAGTCCCACATGGATTTCTGCTTTCTCTTTTTGTTATCACTTACTTGTAAAGAGTGTGGCTAGACTACCAGTTCTGTATTTTTAAAAGGAAAAAAAATAAAAAAAAAAAAGTAGGAAAACTTTTTAAAAACCTGTACACACAAATGGCAAAAAAAGCACCAAACTCAACTGCACCAGATCATCAGAAATAGGATAGAATGTAACCTGTCATCTATGCCCATGCTTTTTTATTTTTATATATATGCTAATATTGGACATGTAACCCATTGTAAATCGTAGCCAAGTAGTGTCTGGATCTAGACTTGATACAATTAAACCTGGAGCCAACCATTCGGCATGGACTAAGAGGGTATTTGGCTTTTTAACACAGTCCTGTGACTCCTATTGGCTTACCGATGGCATCTGGGTTGCACGGATGTGGTAGGTAAACTAGTTTAGCAACTTTCGTCCTCCCCTCCCAGAACAGGAGCTACAGTGTGTCCAGTTGAGCGGAGGGGACACACTGGGGTTTGGAATACATGGGATATGTTATGGAACAGACAGCACTTTACTTTGCAGCTCTGTTCTTCATCTGGGAAAAGTCACACACTTTTAGTCAACCAAAAACTGTAACTCTGTGTGGTACTGCCAAGCTTAATACTTTTGACTAGTTCTATGGTGAATACGGACTGTTCTCCCTGAGATCTTTCTAGTAACAATATGGTCTTGAAATACAAGGACCCGACACAGTTTCCTTTCTATATGACCGTTCTCCACTTGGAAAAATAAGTGGGAAATAATTGCTTATTCTCCTGCTACACATTCCTCAGACCACCTTTTCATTATGGCTGCAAATCGTTAGCGGCAGCATCTACTGATCCAACATAGTACATTCCATCCACAGACACAGACAGTATAACATTAATTATCACGTCCAAATGCCTCAGTCAGGCTGAGAGCCATGTTGTGCGAGGTGCTGAACACACGCCTACATGGACACAAACCCTGCCCCAAAGAGCTTACAGTCCAATAGATAGCTAGGAGTCATTTCACGCTTTCCTTCTCTCAACAGTAAATAGTAACTTTACTAACACAGCACTATCTGCCACACTACTGGAAGCATAACCCTGGGTGATACAACAAAAGGATGGGGTTTTTTGGCCTCTCTCAAAATACATACTGATGTTATATGACTTTAAATTATGCACTATCAACACACCTTGTCAACATTCCTACCTTATTATTCGGTATCATGTGGACTCAAATAGCTGTTGTGATAACCCAGTAACCTACTTAGAAACTTATCCAATTCGAGAAGTGATAAAGCTACAGCTAAACATTCAGTAATGTCATAAACTGATGCCCCTTTGCTCCAGAGCTGGATAGCTCCCTGTAGTATATTCTCCAGCACTGGGTCCAGTCTGTTTTAAATCACTCACGTGCTGTGGTTTCTTTGCTACTTTCCTTGGGAGGTTATTCTGTAGTTTGACAGATTTTACCATTAGCAATTTTTCTTGGCGCTTAATTTAATCGTTCCTTTGCTTCATTTAGTCTATTACGCCTCATCATACCCCCCCACCTTATCGAACATCTTCAGGCCTAAACAAAGCCTGATTCTCCATTGCCTTGCACCCTATGCCCTCATTTACATCTGTGCAAAGTAAGGCTAAAATGCTACCATGCTGGCAGGGAATGTATTACTCCCACCGTGCGCTCAATTTGCATGGGTTTAAATGACCAGCTAGAGGGTGACAAAGAGCCAGGTGCTTGCCTTGTATTCTCAGCTCTGCCCTTCTCTTCCCTGACTTGCTGTGGAGTCTTAAACAAGTCACTTCATCTCTCTGTACCTCAGTTTCCCCATCTATGAAATGGAGATAATGACACCCACCCATGGAAAGCACTTTATGTACTGTGAATTATTATTAATCAAAGTATTTCCTGGACATTCACAATTTTTGTCAGGGACATAAAGAAAAACAGTGATTGAGGTTCCTCTCTTTAATTGTTTGGGCTCAGGCTGCCAGGGTAGCCCTGCCCTTTGCTATGTTCTGCATAGGAGAAATTATTTTTCTGCTTAATCAAAAGCACGTAGCAGAACATTTCTATCGTTATTTTAGCAAGTGCTGCCACACGTAATCACTGGCTTGGCAAAGATCCTTGTGAAGAGAAAGAAGGGGGGAGAGATCAAAAAGGGTTGATTTCAATAGTTTAAGACAAAAATAACATTTATAATGGAGGCATTAGCCCACTTTAATGCTCATCTGAACAGGATTGGGGCAAATCTGCCCACCTGTAAATAACTGTGTACAGAACTCCCTGGGTTACACAGTGCAACAATAGCCTTGTAGTGAACGCACTTTGCAGTCACTGAAATAGCACAGATCAGAATGAATCCACATGATATGTATTATATCCTACTGTACATATAGCATCCTTCAAATGCTTTACTGATAAACACAGAGCTGCAGAAATGGCTCTGTCTCTCTGCATGAGAAAGGGAGAGCATTTGTTTTGATAAGCACAGGAATTGCTTGGCAGTCATGCACTCCCAGGGTAATGAAAGGGAACTGACTTGATTAGCTTATGTGAACGTACAGAACATTACTGGAGATACGGCCAAACCAAGCCCCACGTTTTGAGCACTCTCAGACATCGGTTAGTTTAGATCAGGCCTGGGATCCAAATTCTAGGGCTTGGGCCCCTGTCGCCCTTACTCAAGTTGTTCTGTCCTCTAACCATTCTTTTTTCCATCCCCACCTCCATGCATAGAGAAGTTATAGCTATATAACCGGCAATTGCCTGCACCAACATCCCATTTACCTGAGGAACATGGAATGTGGTTTCTTCCGGGGTGGCAATGACAATGCATACCGTAGGAGAGGGAATGTAGAACTGTAACGATTGTGTTCCTGAAGGACACCTGGAACAGAGCAATCTGACAAGTAAATCCAACCAAAAAAATGCCAAACTTGCTCCATCATTTTTTTCCTACTTCTTTCCAGAATTTCTTGTGAATATTTTTTGTTTTCTCCATGAAAAACCAAAATAATTTGATCATTTATATAGGGGGAAAAAAATCATGTTTTCTTTTTTGGTCAACAAATGTCAAAGGAAACAATTTTCTTTGAAAATATTTGTTTCCTTTGCAAAGCCATTTTTTGTAGAAAAAAAAAGTCAACAAATTTTCACCCAGCTTTACTGATGAGTCTATTCTCTTCTCACCTGGCATAGGGTTGCTGCTTATAGCAGAACTGTATACATTCTAGGAGCAAACACACCCATTGCAAATGACTAGTACATTCCTCCGCCCCAAACTTTGAAATCAAGCTACTCTCTTTGAAACCCTTCTCGCCTGTTTCCCTAAGAACCTTCAAGTCACTCAAAGAAACTGCCACAAAACCTAAACCACTGTACATAGAAATTAAAGATGAAAGAGACCCTTTAGTCCAGCCCTTGCCAACACACTATTCTTCCCCATAAAATATTTCCCAATGCTTTTTCTAGACTAGATATATATCTCCCCAGGGACAGGGCTCCCACTGCTTCACTTAAGAAATTACTTCAGCCTAATAGATCTCAAAGTCAGGGAGTTTTCTCCTGATACAAAGCCATAATTTTCCCTCCCTTGTTTTTCATTCCATTACTCCTGATTATTTCCCCTTTCACTTGCTAAATAGTCCCTCCCCGCTCCTTGAACGTTAGCTGTGCACAAACATCTGAAGCATATAAAGTCTTGTCTTTGACCAGCAAATTCTAATGCAGGAGGCGGCTTTTGGGTGACAAAGGATTCATATTTTAAAGGTAAATTGGAAAAATAATTATAAAATAAATAAGTTTGCAATTCTAAATTCTTAACAGAAGCAGCTTACCCGCTGAAAAACTGCATTTCTATTTTCAACACTGGGAAATCACTTTATTTTTTATGGTGTTCAGAGCTGCCAAAACCGAATTTAAAAGTTGCAGGTTTTCCCTGAAATAGCTGATGCCACCATAGCATTATGAGCCAGCTCTCACTGCTCTGATTTACATAACTGGGGCGTGGGGGCCAGGGGGTTCTACCAAGAGCTCAGATATTGTCGGCTCAATAGAGGAGGAGCTGCTTTCTCAACTATTTTAGATGTAAATCCATTTGTAATCATGTTGTCTGTTA